TACAAATATATTTGTAAAACAAATAAAAATATGTAAATATTAATAGAAATATTTTCAGTAGTAAATACATGTAATATTTTTTAAAGCTTAAACCAAAGACTTTTCTAAGAATGTGTTAGATTTTTTAGATCTTACATTGAATAATTAAGAAGAGAAAGACGATAATCTAATGAAAGATGTGTTCATCTAAACAACACACCCAGCACTTCAATAAAAGATATTCTCCTAATTCCTTAAAGATAAAAAGAAATCATTTTCTGGCAGGATTACATTTCTTTAATTTGAAAATATGTCAGGTCCTTGCTATAACACTCTTTCACATACAGTAGAATTTACAGTAAATTTTCTTTCTTTTTATGAATCTTTTCATTACATAAGAACCACAGTGTTTGTGACAGGTGGCTTATTATATAAGTTAGTCTGTGGTAGGCAAGCTCTAAAATGGGCCCAGCAATCCCTGGTTCTTGGTATTCCCACCCTTGCATAATCTCGTTTCTTTAAGTGTGGCTGGATTTAGTGACTCATTTCTAAAAATTAGGAGCTAAGAGAGAAAGAAGGCAGGAAAGAAAGACCACAGTAGGTCCCATGATCCAACAGAGGGAGGGAACACTCCTAGGGTGACAAAATTGAAGTTGAGGGGGGAGGGGGAGGAGGAGGGAGGTTGGGGGATAATTGGAAGGGGACAAAGGGTACTAAAGCAATTTCTGGTAATGGGTATGTCCCCAGTATGAATCTGGCCCCCACATCATGGGCAGGAGGGGGGACAATCAGCTTTGTATCTCATGAACATTTGAAATAAATAAATAAATAAATAAATAATAAAAGTAAAAATTGTATGTAACAGATGTGATGGATGTCACTGTCAAGACTGGATTATATATATAAAAAAGAAAAACCCTGTAGTTTCAGTCTTGAAAACTTTCTTGCAGTAACTGGCTTTCTCCTCTCTCTCTCTCTCTCTCTCACCCCCACCCCCCAGTGACCTATAGGAGAGGCTGCTTGAAGAAGAGAGGTACTGTGGAATCAGAGGCCATGCGGAAGAGAACTGAGGCCCCCCAGCCAGCACCATCTGTCAACCAGGTGAGCAAGCCTTGCTGGAAGCAGATGCTCTAGCTCAGTCATGGCTGCCAATGATGCAGCGGCAGCCAACGGTTTGATTGTAGCCTCCTGAGAGACCCTGAATCAGAATCAACCAGGTAAGCCATTCCTGAATTCCTGATCTGGAGAAAACGTGCGATTTATAAATGTTTGTCGTTTTAAGCCTTTTGAAGGTTTGGAGTAATTAGTTACACAGCAATAGGTGACCTGTACATAATCTAAAGACCTGACTCTTGATGTCAGTATTATGAGAATGAATGAATTCAGAATCTCAATGTGTTATACTTTGGAGATCTGAACTGGACTAGAACAACATGGTGACATCACATTAATACCTTCATCACAAAGAAACAAATTTTTTTGACTCTTTTTAGCTGAATGGGATCACAGAGTTCATTTATTTTATCTTGAGATCTATGGAATCCACTGAATTGAATATAAATGCATAATTAAACTTCATTTGGAAACTCCATGTTTAGCGATGGATTAACCAATAAACAATGACATTCTTACCTCCAAAAAAGTACTTCTCGCTGGTTTTAACTTGAAGAGGACTATTAGTTCGAACTGCTGAGGCTTCATCTCCATCTATGGTGAGAATAGCAAAGTTTTCCTTGGCCAGGAAACGAACCTCATGCCACTGTCCGTCATTCAACCCGGAGCCTGGTAATACAAAAGCCAATTTCTTTTCTTAAGACGGTTTAGTTAAACGCAATTTTTAATATCAACAAAGTCAGCCTCTTACAAGTAAAAATTAAATATTTTCATCTAGGAAAATACAGTGCTGCTTACAAATCACATTGATATCTCATATTTCTTTAACATCATAAGTGGTTCTATCCCCCATTGGACAGAATAAGGCATAATATACCCCAAGCAAGTAGGAAAATAGTGTTAATATGCTGTTGGGGTATCTGGGGAAAAGAAAGCATTGAACAAAGTCATCAGGAGGGTGATGATGAACTATTTTAATTTAATAACTTATTTTCTGTTTAGCTTTGCTAGATCCCACTCTCAGATGAGAAAATGGATTTATGGCTTTTAGCGAATGTCTCTCTCTGTTTTAAAAATACTTATTTATTATTTATTTTATTGTTTATTTTCTCTCAATAACCACAGTTGGCAAGTATGTTTTATAAAAATTAAGGACTAAAGAACGAATGTGTGAGTATGTGAAGTTACATGTACTAATTAACCACTAATGATCATAGGAAATAATACCAGGATTATCTGATCATTTAAACATACGGTGTCTTTATAATGGAGATGATATTTAAACAGATAAAAATCAACAAAATAAATTAGCAATGCCCACTTCCGACAATCGCACTTCATTGTTGCTTGATACAAAGATTTTTGAAAACAATTTTATTGAACTGTTTGTCAGGCAGACAATTGCTTAAAGTTTCTGCTTAGTTTGTGTTCATTTTATAAAGACTAGTTAGAGAATTAAGGAGCAAACAGAGGAAAGCAGCCACTGAGCATAAGTCCTGGAGAGAATTAAGGAAACACTAATAGACAGAGAAGTCCAAGAGGGTCACAGTAACCTTCTTTGACCTTGAAAGGACTATGCTATGGCAAAGGGAAGAGATTTTGTTCTAGTCTGCTCCAGATGGCATAATATAGACTCCATGGGTGGAAGTTATGTGAGGATACACTTCAGTTTTCCAAAAGAAAGAGAAGCCAAGCAAGTAAAGGCATCCAAAAATAAAGTGACAGCAAATCAATGAACCACAGATGAAGGCTCCAAGCCCCTGATAATGTACACCAGGAGTCTGAAAACCACAGTTTATGGGCAAATTGCAGTCTCTGCTGCTGCCTGTTTTTATACAATTTTTGAGTTAAGAATGGTTTTCACACTTCTAAATGGCTGAAAAGAAATCAACTGAAAAATACTATCAAAAGAAGAATGACATAATATGAGAAAATTATACAAAATTCAAATTTTAGTGTCCATGTAAGATTTTACTGAAATATAGCCAAGCTCATTTGTTTATATGTTACGTGGCTATGATGACAGAGACAAATAGTTGCACAAGAGACCGTATGGCCCGCAAAGCCTAGACTGTTTACTGTGTAATCCTTTTCAGAAAAACAAACTAGGGATTAGCTTACACTCTAAAAAAGAAAAAAAAATTATGACCTGTTGGAACATAGAAGATATTCACATACCTGTAGTATTTACTCATATTTTTGTAAGTATTAGTACAAATAATCACCCCACAGATATTTTTCTTACTACTTTTAAATTTTAATTTAGTAATATTAATTGAGCACAATTTACTGCAATGACAGACAATACAAAATTCCTGTTCTATAGTAATTAATACAGAATAATTTCCAAATTATGAAAAATTATATGTAAGTATTTATATATGTGTGTATATAGATATTATATCCATGGCATAAAACAAGTAATAAGGGAAACAGCCAACTGAATCCCACCATCATTTTTGGCCTAGAATATTTCTATATTCTCTGGCTGGTTTTCCTGTTTCCACTCTATTCACTTACAGTCTATTCCCTCCACAAAAGTAATCTCATTTTTTTAAAAATGTAATTGAAATCACAGTCTTTCCCTTACAACAGTTTTCTGTTGCTTCTGAACTCGCTAAAAATACTGGCCAAAGTCCTTACAGTGACCTCAGATGGTATGTGAACCATCTGGAATGCCTTGTGTGAATCGCCTGCATGGTTTTTCTCCCTCATTTCAGGTCTCTGCAAATGTCATTCTATCAGTGGGGCCTTTTCCAACCCTTCTATATAAAAGGGCATTTTTCCCACTCCTCCAACATCACTCTTTTTCCGAGCTTTATTTTTCCTTGTCGCATCTCGCATTACCAAATCTATTGTTTGTTCACTTATTAGTGTATTTGTTAATTTTCTGTCTTCTACCACTCGATTATAAGTTCTCTGAGGTTAGGAATTTTGTCAGTTTTATTCTGTTAAAACCCAGCACTGGAAGCCACACCTGGTGCACAGTAGATGTGAATAAATAAGTGAATGAGTCTGAGGGGTGCTCTGGAGCAGGAATTTGGCATTCTGACTTTCATAGACAGCTGTGCTGGTGATGGAACACTACAGCAATAACAACAGCACTGGCATTTCTGACTGTGGTTTCCATGCTGGAAATAATCATGCAAAGGGTAAGCAATATTGTTCACTTTAAGTTAATGCCAGTAGATATCCCTATAAATCTTCACCATCCTAAATACATCAGTAATTGAGCTTGCCCAATTATCAAGTTATTTAATGAAGCATATCTTTCAGCCCAATGTGGCTGTCACCTGCAGACAGTGCCCACACATTGCAATGGCTTCCAGTGATGTAGAAAGAGGGACCGGCCAGAGTGCCAGGTGTGCATGGGGCAGCAGTTAGTTACCACAGATTCTCAGAGTCAAGGTGAAATAAACTATATGTGCCCCAATTCTTATATTAGGGTCTACTTTGGGGAACTTATGGGTTACTTTGTAAGACAGCTTCTCATTGGAAAAAAAAAGCATAATTTTAGTCCATGTTCTATTTCTGACAAGAAAAATACTTTCAGCAAATCATTTAAACTCAGTTTTTCTTCTCAAGTTGATCCCTTTGGATTCTCTTCACCATAGCAATTTGTTTTAAAGCACAAAACTGAATTTATTGTTGATTGACCATAGGAGTGCAAGGTTTTGATTTTGGTTTTGGTTTTTTGCCTTTATAATGTGATGAACCTTGCTCTGAAATGCATTTGGGGGACATGGATCTCAAGGACATCAATGTTACAAATGTTTGATCCCAAAATATAATCCAAAGAACCACACATCTAGAGAAAGTCACTTACAAAATACCTTCAGTTATCCTAAATGGTAGACTAGAAAGTCTTTCAGAAAATTCCTATGAAAATTTCATCAAGAAATTAATTTATAAATGGAACATCATCAGCTTAATTGTCCATGGCAGAAAGATACATTATTCTAATCAGATTAAAATCAAAAGGTTATTTTATTTTTTTCAAGGATCTTAATTCCTAGAGAAATTGGACTCTAAATTAAAGGAGCCTTATTGATAGCAGCCCCTGCTATACCTAAGCTTACACTGATTCCTATTCACTTTAATCCCAATTATTATTTAGAACTTTTACTGTTAATCATCAAGAGGTATGCCTCAGCAATCTATGATAGAAATGAGCCCCCAAATATAATGAAGTTCAATCTTAAATGTGGCAATGATGACCCAATTGCTCAAAAGAAAATATGCTGCTGCCTTTAAATTTTCTTTGTTCACATGTTATAAAAAAACAATAGCCTGAAGCCTCTCTCCAGAATAGAATCCAATTTTATGATCCCTGCATATATGAGTATTGAGGGTTCTTCAAAATGATCATGGAAAAAGAATTAAAAGATAATACGAATCTTTCTATGAAGTTTTTGAGGATCTCTCATATATACTGTTTTAGGCTCTAGGTGCTCTATGTGCTAGCGACTCATATAGATATGCTGTTCAAAGCTCTATGTGCTAGCCACACTTACAAGTGTTCTACTTGCATTTCACTCATTTATACCTCACAGGAAAAAAATTAAATTATTATCTTCATTATATAGGTGAAAGACTAAGTCTAATAAAGTGTAAGCATCACATAGTTGATAAATAGCAGAGCCTAGAATTAGAACTCAGATCTATCTGGTTCCAGAGCCTGAATTTTCACAACAGACAAACAAAAACCAAAACAACAAAACATGCTGTATAGCCCCTGTGCATCTATGATCAGAGTTATACTGCACATACACACACGCACACGCACACGCACACGCACACACACACGCACACACACACACACACGTGTTCCTTCATTTGCCACCACATCTGGAGAGGAGCTCCATTCCTGGGGCCGTCCTCATTTCATGCAGCATTGGGGCTAGAAATAAACTGAGACACCATCCAGTTTTATCTGCTAACTGTCAGTCATTTGCACCATCGGGTTTTTGTTGTGTTGAAGCATCACACGTACTATTTGTCTTTTAGTATTTTCTCACAATGTTCTTACCTTAAAATTGTATCTTAAATGAAAATTTTACATCACAGGTGTAACCAGCACATGCTACGATCTTTCTCCCCCAAGTCACATTAACATACACCTGTGAGTATTCACTTGGATCATTTCCATACATTGTGAAACTCTTAACAGAAAGTACATTGCATTCATTCCGCTTTACAACGGGTCCGTAACATTGACAATGCTATTTTTTTGTTAGTCTGCAGAACAAAGACCCTTATCCAGACCTTTTGATACCCAAATAGTTGCTATTCCCACAACTCAGAACTTAGCCATCTATTGTTAACAGTGAAAAGTGGTCCACAGATTCAGCATATATATCACCTATATTGTTTTTATTTATTTATTTATTTATTTATTTATTTATTTATTTATTTATTTATTTATTTATTTATTTATTTATTTATTTATTTATTTATTTATTTATTTATTTATTTATTTATTTATTTATTTATTTATTTATTTATTTATTTATTTATTTATTTATTTATTTATTTATTTATTTATTTATTTATTTATTTATTTATTTATTTATTTATTTATTTATTTATTTATTTATTTATTTATTTATTTATTTATTTATTTATTTATTTATTTATTTATTTATTTATTTATTTATTTATTTATTTAT